ATATGTTCTGATGAGGTATGAGGCACTGTGTGATAGTCTGACCAAGCTTCAGGGCTCATAAAAAATTAAACATGCTTAAGTAACAGGAAACCACTTTATAGCTCATCAATCTTTAGACTTCCATAGCTGGTTTCATAAAATAAGCAAGAAGGTGAATTTCTAAAATTTGTTACAAATGGCATTTAATCTGATTTATATCAAATTGGAATCCTGTGTTTTATAGGACACTATGTTATTTTTATTTAATGTGATTTTGCTCAGTTGGAAATAAATGTAAACATACATGGACACACATACACACACACACACACACACACACATACTCATTAAGAAGTTTAGGGAGGGCTAAAGCCCTCTTTCATTATTCTAGAGTAGAAAACACAATTTCTCTCAGAAAGAATTTTCATTTAAAAAATAAATTCATTTTCCTGAACTACAATGAAATATTGTGAAGGATTGTTCTAGAACTTTATTCTTTTAAGTAATTTTTTTCTATTGCAGAGACTGTAGATAAAATTACAAATGATCATCTTTATGAGATCTGTGTGTTTTATATAATATATAATGTTGCATATTTTAAAGTGTTTTCCATTACACCTATGAAGAATAACATTATGAATTCAAATTTGAGAAAAGAAGCAAGACTGTGTAAAAAAAATTCATCTTTTCTTTTTGCAAAACTGGTTTTTGTTTTCTTTATTTACATATATAATTCACTGAGAACAAGACAAAGTGAAACTGTTAGCTCTTAAAGAACCCATACATCCTGAAAGAGATGAGACTCTTTATCCTTAGAATAGTCAGGGTTAGAAGGGAAATGTCACTGATGTAGTGGTTGAGTCCCTGTGTCAGTACAGAGAAGTTTGGAGGACCCTTCATGCTATGACCCCTGATGGTCTGGAGACCACAGGCTCTGACTGAGCAGATCCTACACTAATGTCTATGTGAAAATTGGTTTCCCATCTCTTCTTCCTTTCAAAGGCTGCAAGGTAAAAGTCTCCAAGTCAGATCGACTGATGACCATTCCCATTAATTTAAAAAGTCATTACTTTTTACTTTTCAACTTTTTTTTTTATTACTGAGGTTTCCAATGAATAGTTCATTCTTGGAGGCATTTCCCATCAGTCTTCCAAGAGGAACCTCTGTGTTTGTGGTTTGCCTGGTGACTAAGGAGTGCAACGTGGATAGCTTCCTTTATCTCCCTCTCAAAATTTTCACCACAGATTTCAGAAGCACTTCATTTTCCACAAAAAGCCTACAATATCCCCATTTCAGAGGTTTCTATAGTTGTAGAGATGATAAAAACAATTGACTATGGTATATTATATTGAAACTTTTCAAGAGATTCAATGATTCTCAATTCTTGACTTTCATCCATTATTTGCCTACCTAAAGTATATGCTTTTCCTTTTTGATCTACACTCTATAATTATAGATAGGAATTTTATGCAATAATTTATGTGAAATTTGTAAAATTAAAGAATAATTCCATTTTTGCAGCCAGATTATTGGAGGATCACTGTATTTTCTGATGTAATGACCCTGTTTATATGACTTTTACTTTCTCCCCCATAAATTTGGGTGGTTGCTGTAACTAGCTCATGAAAAAATGCTTCTGAGAGAGGGAGGATACCAATCTCTGCATTTCCTTTATCTTTGGTTCTCTTGTGAAGACTGTTCTGTTAGTGGCTATTCTTGCCCAGAGGGTACATAAAAGTCAGGGTGAAAACAGGATGGAAAAGATGAGCTCCATAACCACCCTTATATTGAGAGCCACTGTATTATGATAGTGATTAGTGAATATTTTTTTTTATTTTGGAGACAAAATGGATCCCATTTTCATATGGATCTCATCAGAATTTGAAATAACAATGGGATTATTTTATTATAAAGAATATAGGAGTGCTTTTGCTGAGGAATATCTATATTTACTACAGTACCCAAACTACATACATTTTTTTGCTTTGAAAATTGTAAGAAACATATTTAAAACATAATACTCCTATTTCTGCTTTGACATACTTGTAACAGCAAAGTTAAAAAGATATTCTTTTAAAATTTTTAGGCAAAAGAATAGAAACCTTCAGACTGTTAATTAAAATAATTTTACTAAAAATAGCCATACTGAAACATAATAATAAAACACCAAAAGGACAACTTAATCACAATACTTTCCATTCATGTCACCAGTTTTCTTTAAAGTCATTATAATAATTTTACTTGGTCAGATAAATAATATACTTTCAGTTTATTTAGATGATCTTTTAAATTTTAATTGGCTTTATTTTTATTTTGAGTCTGAAAGAGAGGTCAATTATTTTAAGGATAATAATAGAAAATGTACCAAATTTCAATTTTAATGGAAGATCTTCCAGGTCCTTGATAAAAGGCATAGAAGTATTCACATATTTTAACTTCTTTAGTGATATAAAGGGATACTTTTGTTTCCTGGGCAAGGGTGTTTATAGCATTAGAATTTATTTTTTCCATAATATGCACTTACCATTAATGAGTAAGCTGTCATTTGCCTCCCACACAATCTTTGATGTAGAGAATTACTATTAGTATTTAGGGTAGAGCAATCTTGGTATCTAAAATAATTTGCCAGATATACTATTAATCTGTATATAAACTAACTGGCCAGTACACAGGTTTATGTGGGACTGGTCATATCTTTTATTTTTTTCTTATAAATTATAGGAAACTGCAGGAAAAAAACAATCAAAACAAAATTCCTCAGAAAACAGAAAGTCATTTTCTTAAAAGTTAGGAAATGTTTCTCAGTTGGTGAGTAGAATTGGTCTTCTCCATTATGGGCTCCAAAGTTGATAGAAACAATTTCAACAACTGCCTTACTGGAGGCTTTTTATGTTTTATTAAACAGTGTTCATAAAAATACCATGATTGACAATTATTGTGCTGGCAAAGAACTAAGCCATTATTAGTATATAAATACCATTCAGACATATTTATTTGAAGGTCAAAGATGATAGCTGTCCCTGAACACATTTTTCCTTGTACCTAGATTTAAAAAGTTGCTGACATGAGTAGAAAATCAATAATTCTGATGGTATAAGAGCTTTTTCTCTTTGAAAATGGTTATATCAAGCAGTTTATTCTACCAAAAAAATCTGGCCCTTGTATATTGCCTCCTCTTATGTGATTAGTAGCATTGTAATACTATATAGTTAATATGGAAGTTTTCATAAGACTTAATTGTATAGTTATTATTTTTATAGTATGTACTTTCTGAAAGTGGGAAATATTATGCTTTGTGTATGTAGTATATGAATGGCTTCTAAATGATTATAGATGCTTCCTTCAATTTATTTTATTTATTTTTATTTTTTATTTTTTTGCTTTTTTTGAGACGGGGTCTCACTATGTAGTTGAGACTGACCTGGAACTCACTATCTGACCCAGGCTGGTCTCGAACTCACAGTGATCCTCCTGTCTCAGCCTCCCAAGTTCTGGGATTACAGGTGTGAGCCACCACTCCTGGCTGCTGCCTTCAATTTAATAGGTAGGACAACAGGTTTTATTAGAACAGAATGGAAAATCAAGGTAGGGATTCCTATATCTTTTATTCAGCTATTGAATCCAAAAAGCCTAAGTTCTGAAAGATGCATAAATCATAGAAAGAACCAAATCTAGATGTTATATCTCCATATCTGTAAAAGTGACTATAAGATCTGCATTACTCACTAGTAGTTATTTTAGGCATAGAGCTATGTAGACTGGGGCAGGGATTAATCTCCCAATCATGTTTTAAATTGTTGGATACAACTCTTTTGATGATGGAAATTACTTACATATAAAATTACCAAAAGATCAATGTTGAAGTCAGTGTTGCTATACTGAAAAACTTCTGATGGCCCTAGTGCAAGTGTATAATATTTTGTTACATGTGAAAATAGAGTCTGTGTGATTTATTTGATAGGAACCTGATGCTAATTTCATAGATTGAAAAATGAGTTCTTTGAGTACCAATTGACGGGCAGTACTCACCAGTCTTTCTTTTACTTAAGACTGTGTTGTGCATTTTCTTTGGTGTTCAGCTTCCAAAAGTGAAAGAGGAGTGAAAATTAGACCAGTGTGATTTAGAATAGAGCACTAACATTCAGGAAAGTGAATGAACAAAAGCTAAGACATTATATTCTCATTTTTAGTTTCCTCAAATTAACTTCAATATTTATTGTGTTATTTCCTGGGACACAGTATCCTTTATTAAAAATCTTGGTGAAAATTTACAGGGAGAGGAAACCATGTTGAAACAGTGCATTTTGCTTCAGATTGTTTTGGTAGAATTAGTTTGTTCATGAAAAAAGCTGAAATTTAGGAAAAAAATTATTTGTGGCATTTTCTATAGTTCCAGTATGTAGAAGAATTTGGAAATTAACTGGTTGACAGAAATTTTTATAATTATGTAGATTTCTTATGTAAATAGTTATGTTAACACAATGGTGACCTCAAGCTTATTACATACTCTTCAGTCTGCAGCAATTTTGTTTAAAATTTGATGGTCAGTTATTTCTGAGTATTCTTGCATACGCATTTGTGGAGATCCTACTTGTATTTCTTAACAAAAGAGCACAGTGCTTACAATTGTAAAAATTTCTGTTAAATTCTGAAGTTAAGCAGTGTAATTACTTGAAAGATTTATGTTCATTATGTTTCTCACAGGTAAAACCCATGAAATTAAGTTGTTTCAATAGCCTCAAGATTTTTCTGTAATTTTGCATTTATCACCTACTTCTTTTCGCTAGATTGAGAATGTAGTTATACCTTTATCAAACACTTAAAAGAAATCAGTGTTAGCACTAACACACAAGATTCAGATTGTTTTTTTTATTTCTTTCCCTAGCTATAGGTGCATGTTAACAGCTGTCCATTGTGGTCACTGTGGTTCATCTCATTAAGCCTCTTGTTCTATCTGCTTTCTTGAGACTTGGGAAACAGTATTTTTCTGAGTGATTGTACCATATTGTTCCAAATATAAGGCCACCCAGAATAGAAGGCAACCTCCAACTAGAAACAGCTCACATGTGGAGAAAGGCTGGGCGCCCAGAGCCCGGCGGGTCTGGCAGTGGTGGCAAGGGTGCCGAGGAATAGGACGATGCCTGCCCACTCTCCCGGTGAGTGAAGACAAGTCAGCTGGCTGCATTTGCTGTGCATAACCAGGTGGCTTCTGTTGCTAGAGGAAAAGTTTTACTTGGGGGTAGAGAATAAGTCCATATACGTGGAAGAAGGTTGCTGCGTGTCTAAAACTGGGGGTGGGTGGGGTGGGAGCAGAGTACGTCACCTCTTAAACTTTGTCTGCAGTGTCTTTTTTTTTTTCCTCAACCTTGGAGTGAACACTGAGCAACCCAAATGCAAAAAGAAAAGAGAAAAAAAGAAAAAAAAAATAAAGGTACCCTGGATCTTTCGTTAAGAGAAGCATAAGAGATTAATGGCCATGAAAATGAACTAACACAATCACTTGTATCTAGGCCAGCCCAGAAAATTCTTCCTTGCCCTTTCCAACTGATGGCTGACTGAGAGGCAGTGCATTCTTGATGTATTTGCACTGTGTATTCAGTGTGGCTTGAAAACAAACAAGTCAGGCTAGGAATTACATTTCCAATTTTATTAAGATTTTCTATATTTTGAAATTATTTCTCTTCTGAGCCTTTGAAGTACAATTTAAATAAAAAGCCTCAGTCTTATTGAAATGCTCCAAAAAAACTATGTAACATCATCTGTACACTGGTATTTCGCTCATTAGAATATTTAAAAAAAATAATTTAGTGCCAATGTACTTGTCAACTGCTTTATTTCACTAAGCATAGTGAAAGCCAACCTTTTATTTTATAGCTCTAGATGAGATAGAATAAGTTGCTTGAATCTGATGTTAGAATCTAGAAGACTATTTAGCACCTTTTTGCTGACTTTTAGAAGGCATTTGGTCATTTTTGAAGCTTCACATAAAACACCAATCTTCTTTTTCTTATTGATCAGAAACAGAACTTCCCCTGTATTTATACAATGCTAAATGGCCCAGGAGATTTAATGTGAGGATGCCATTAACACTCAAACCAAGATGCCCAAGCAAAATCATAACAGTATTAATATGCCTATCTTTTTGCCAAATTTGGGAAAAAATTTTATGAAACAGAAAAACCGGGCAGAAAAGTTTTGAAAGGAGAAGCTGACAGAAAGATAGCCAGCCCATAAAGGGAAAATGTTGCCTGCCAGGTTAGATTACCCATCAGCAGAAAAATGGCACTGTGTCGGTAAGTCCTTAATGGGAGGCGAAGTGAATTCTATAACCTTAAAAGAGCCCCTGAGGGTGGTACTGACAAGGGAAGAGAACAGCACAGGATGAGAATTCTTTAGAGAAGACCTTCCACTATAACTGCCCAGCTTTGGAGTTGTTTGATCTCTGCAGAGGAAGATGCTGTCTAAAATTTAAAGGCATGAGGGAGAGTGTGCCCCTTAAATATTTTTAAACTTCAAATCATTTCCCTTCTATTATTTGTATTAGGAATTATTAAGTCTGGTTTGATTTGAATTATAAATACAAAATAATAAATTTTATAATTTCACTTTCCAGAGAAGGGTGGGCTTTTATATTTGACAAAGCTGTTTCATCACCTGCTCTTAATTGAAGTTTTAGAGGACAAAAGCTGAAATAGTTACCTACATGTTATATTCCATTGCTTCCTCTTTCTGTTGGCTAGAGAGAATAGGGGCAGGACCTGGTTAATTGCACTACTTTTTGAACACAGAAAAGAAAGTATTCTCAGTAGGCTCACATGGAGGCAAGGGGAGCTGTCAAAGACATAGGAAGAAATGACAGGGCAATGGAAAAAAAGTTCTCATTGCACAAATAAGAATCATTATAAAAATCAAGGGGTTGTTAATTTCTCTGTAAACAGCATTGGTACATGCAACCCACACCTGTAACTGTTGCAGGGGTAAACTTGTCTCTCATCCCTAAAAGTACATACTATACAAGCACGCCTGTGGAGATGTTGGAATTTAATTGCCCACAGCTGTTGTCTCTCCCTTTATGAATTCATATATGATACACCTACACTGGATCCTACACAGGGAATTTGATTGATGGGATTAAATGGAGCAGTGATTAATCTATTAGACATGGTAAAATCAGTAGGTTTGTTGATAAGCGAAAGTTAAATTTCTCATTTTTCTCTAGTGTAATGATCTGCTTAAAAACAGATTTGGAAAATTTCCATTCCTGCTTTTTCTAGGAGAGTAGATGACTCTGCTCTCTTTTTCTTTGCCCATCCATTCTTTCCTCAAGCATTCTTTTTTAAAAAAACTGCAGACACCTAGTGAGAAATTCCCAGTTCTTATGCAGATACTGTGACTTCCATGGAACTAATTTATCATGTGCAGGTTCTGATTTCTAATCAGCTTTGTTGAAGAATGACTTAAAACATGTAATTTACATCTATTCTGGTTTCCATTTTTTAAAAGGCTAGAAATCAAGGGAAATATTTGTTAAACAAAATGTTGAATTTGGTTAAATCTCCTCTGAAAATATTCTACTATAGGTCTTTCCCTCAAAGAAGTGTTTTACAAGAAATACAGTTTCTCTAACGCAAGAAAGCAACATGTCTGCATTTTCTGAGACATACAGAATATGGCATTTGACCTGCTGGGCAAGATGTTTAACTCAGTTGTGGAGTAGCTCATGAATTCTCCACTCTTGAGTATCTTTAAGTTACAAAAATCATTCTTGAAATGTTTTTAAATGACCATTCCTTGGAAGGCATTGGTGTCTTTGGTATATAAGAAATGACACCTGGACATGTATAGGAATGGCTCTTGGTTAAATGTGCTCCAAATAACATGTTGATGGTATTTTAGGATAGGCCAGAAAACAGTAACAAAATGACTGATTCTCACTTGGCAGTGAAATTGAATATTGAATGACATCTATGTAGTTATAAACGACTTTTGTTTTAATAACAAAGTTGTTGATTTTCTACTAAGGGTTCTTTTAGGTTGTCATCAGGGGCTGATGGGAGTAACAGTTCACCCAACTCTCCAGCTAGCTTCAGTGGACATACCACACCTTCTCAGCAGCCCGAGCCTGTGGTACATTCTCTTAAGGTAACCAAATGTGTGCAACCGTGTATCTAGAACTTCAGTTGTGTTGTGGCTTGTTTGCTGTAGTCTGGTAGTCCTCACAGTCTTGCTTTAACCATAGATACTTTATTTTTTGACCCCTAATGGTATAACTTTTTAATCTTAATTTTTGAAGTATCATTTTCAATTTTTAAGCTAACAATGGGTTTGAGTACTTATGGTTGAAACTACTTTTATCATTTTGTTTTGAGTAATGTGATTCATATCTATCTGCATCAAAATTGAAGTCTGATGTGCATGTATATCCATATGTGTAAAATATTGTAATAGCTATTATATGTGTAGTGTTTGTAACATGAATGTCTTCAAATGTAAGGAGTTAATAGTTGTAAAAGTACAGAAGGCTACTATATTTTTATTTCTTTATGCAACTGAAGCACATTGTGCAACTTATGAAAAGAAAGTATTGAAATAAACAACAATCTACTTTTTCATCTAATAAGCAGAAATTAGGTCTTCAAATTACAGTTACAAAATAGATATATGCTTTTATATCTAATGATAATTTATTTTTTACCATTACTTCAGATTCTACAATAACTTTACAAAAACTTGGGAAAAATTTATAATTTTTACACAGTAAGGAGCTTTCCAATAAGCAAAATCAGCAAGTGAGCACTATAACTAAAATACATATTTAGTAATGTAAATAGTTACCTAAGAAAATAAATTGATACAGGAAATAAAAATACATCTTAAAATTAAGGTAATTTCTTGATGTTCTATTAATTTAAATATAGTAACCACTTAACTATATGGCTATAGCTATAATTCCTCAGAAAAAGCCTTGACTAAACCTTCGTGAGCCATAAAATACATAGACAGCTTCAGTTCTGTTTATGGCCCATAAGTTTCCTAACTTTAGTTAAAATAGTTTCACCTTACAGTGATTTATCATGAGATTGAAGATAACCTTTTTGGAGTGGGCCACACTTTCCACCACATGCATAAGTAGACGATAATGTTAAAATGTTTGATTTTTGTGATACTTTAATTTTGGCCAAAGATTTAGTCATCTCAGTATATTTTGATTTAGCTCGGGTAAAGTTGAATTTGTTCTTCACACCCATTGATTGTGGATGAGAGAAGGTAGAAGAACCATTGCTTATAGTCATGAGCAATGCACTTGATATTTCTTGTCTTAGTTGGGCTAATTCACAAGGGAACAACTGAGAGCAACTCACAGGAAGGCACAACCAATACAAGGGGCACCGCCCTTCATCCAGTGGGTTTGGCTTATTGCCTGAAGAACATTTCGCTCTCTGCGCTAGCATTTGAATGAACTTTAGCATGACTCAGATACTAGCGATTGTAAAGGATTTTAGTAGTGGAAAAGGAGCCTGATATTAACTTTAGCTTTGTAGCATTATAGTGTCTGCCCAAACTAAAAACAGTACCTCACTCTACTCGTCAAAATTGAAAACAAGTCTGTTGCCTTCTTAAATGGCTAGTGATGTTCGAATCCCGTCAGCATAGTAGATTACATGGAAATCTTCCTCTAATTTCTCAGTGCGGTAGATACTTGTGTGGCCTCAAAGGAAGGGAAGGTACAAGGAAGGGCTCCTCAATTTTCCCTGATTTCCTTCTCTAAATTTTATGTGAAGAATTATCTCAAGTGAGGAGATGTTATGTCATAATCAGAGCAATAAGTGCCCTTGTTTGGCAGATGGGTGATACTGAACAGCTGAAGCATCCTTATTGGATAACTAGAGGTCCTTGAATATAAAATATGCTTGCCTCCATGAGCTAATTGCATCATGAAAAAAAAGTATGTGCAAAAATAGTCCTTAGAAAATCTTAAGAAGATCTCAGTGTACAAAAAAGCAGACACTTGACACGCCACTTTCTGAAAGTTTCTCACTTTCTGATGGTTTCAAAGAAAACTTGCCTATAATAAACTCTGTGGTCACAGTTTGTGAGGTTCTATAGAAAATCAATGGAAGAAATTAGCCCATTTGTAATGACATCTTTCTCTGACTTTAAAATTCACAATTATTATTCATTGAGCTTCATTTCATTTAGTAGAAATTAACTGATTTAAAGTATACTTCTCTGAGGTATATTGAATTTGTAGGCAAATGAGCTTGTTTAAGGGGTTCTTTTCTATGCCTATATACTGAACAAAAGCAATGATTTCCCTAAGTATGTAAAGAATGTGAATTTAGTATGAGGTGAGTTGACAGGGCTTTAAAGAAATGGTATCTATGTAGTGATAATGGGTAGAAGTTTCAGATTAACAACAAAATAATGTGTGAATTGAATTATCCATTACAAGATTGAATTCTAGTTAATCTCAGATAGGATCTATGAATTTGATGAGATAGCCCCACCTGTTCATTGGTACAGATTCTCAGGAGACGCTTGTAGTACCATCAGTACTGAACATGCCCACAACAGAACCAAATAGTTTAGCAGTGTTACAGCGTAAAACAGATTCTCTAAGAGCTTTTGGGAAAGGAGTTTTTATGTTACCCTAATGCTTCAGCTTGTAAGCCAATATAAAGAAACACTGACCAACAACATTCAAAGCCAAAGTTTCGTTTCTTTTTGTATCATAAAAGTATCCATATGAAAACCTTGTGTATTATTAAAGGAATACTTCAATTCATTTATGGAAAATTTAATGACACAGAAACATAGGCCTATTAAAATTGTTTAAAAGTATTTCTTCACCAGACATTTTAATAATGAAAAATAAAGTTTTGCTTGAATGTTTTCATTATAAGGAGCTGGTGTTTTTCTTTGCTACCATCAAAGAGGGATCCCGAGAGAGAGTGATTCTTTCCTTAGGCACTAGGAACACAACCAGAAAAGATGTGAGTCAGTAGTTCTTAAGTGCATATTATTATTTAGTTATCTTTTCTATGGCCATGTCTACGTAACATTTGGGCTGTATGGTATATACTTATATTGTTCACTATTAAAATGGACCAAGAATTATAGACTGTCTCCAAATGGTTCACTGTATTATGTTACCTAATGAACAAATTAAATACATCTAATTATTTTAGACATTAGTGAATTCAACTACTAATGTTACAGTATTTCTTTTAATGACCATTTGAAATCAAGTAGAATTTATTGTAGGCAGGTTTCAGAATAATAAATTATTTTAAAAGATTTTTGCTCTATAGGAATCCATTCTGATATGCAGACACAAAGAAAACTAAAAGTTTTACAAAATGGAGCTCCTTGATCGTTTATCATAACTAACAAGTTTTTCTTTTCCCATGTGAAATTTGCTTTTCTTTTTTCAACAAATCCAGGTCTTGGATGTTCAGGAAACTATAGATCGTCAACAGGGTAAAGAGTATGAACATGACCTTAGTGAGACAGAAAAAGCTATAGTCAGAGAAATGTGCAATGTAAGTTTGATGTGCTTTATTTTGTATTTTGTGTTGAAAGCCTCATCATAGCTTAGTTGCTACTTTATGAATACTTCCCTTTGAAAGTGCTGACTGAATGCCTTTTCCATATGAAAATAAAACAATTGCCCTTGTTTTTTGTCTTCAATATATTTTATTACAGGTTTATTCACCCATTAATAATATTATAGAATATTGATGTCAGAGGGGTGGAGAGGTAACTCAGTATAATAGTGCCTGCCTAGCACGTGTAAGGTACTCAATTCAATCCCTAGGACCATAAAATGAAAAATCAGATTAAAATAAGCCAATTTTGTATTTTAGAATGATCAACGAACTTCTCCAATTTGTTGTCTAAGATGTTACTGTGAATTTTAATGAAATAAATGTTTTTTGTTACTTGTAAGACATTATTTAAACATCAGTGTTTAAAAACTTATGATTAAAAATACAGCTTTTTAAGATTTATTTGTAATTATTGTTAGAAAATATCACTACTTTGCTGGGTTACATTTGCTCAGTTCTTCAAACATGATATATGTACCTCATATTATAGAAAGGATTCTCTGGACTTTTCGCTAGTTAGAGGGTAATAAGGTGAGACAGATAGGAAGCTGAGGGATAGTTAGCTATCCTGAGTGAAAGTCTATCCATGAAGTAGAGAGAGGAACAGAATTTTTAAAATTTATGTTATTTTTATGACATCTATCTGGTGTAATTATTAATGCAATTTAGACCTTTGCTAAATTTTCATTTGTGAATAATATGCATGGGTAAGTTATTTCATCAAGAATACAACTTATGAAACTTCAAAACAGCTAAATGGAATACTATAGAGGAAGCCATGTGTTAACTCTAAGAAATCAGGGCTAAGCATTGATCATGTTAAGCACTGATTTTAATTGGCTTTGTATTATACTTTTATCCTCATATTCTTTTCTCCATTAGGCTGGAAAGCTTTTTTAGGAATACACTTTAGATTTAGGGTAATAGGACCAGATATTCTCTAACCCTCATTCACTTCCTCAAGATGTTTCTAGAATCCAGTAAATGTAACCTAAGTTCATTAGCATTTTATATGTGCTGCTGGTGGGGTGGGGTTATTAGACTCCTGCTTACCTATGTTATGACTGCTTTTTTTTTGCAACCCTTTCCAAGTCATTTTCTTTTGTGCACATCTATCGTTGTCTATTTTTAAAAGGTCACTAGTTCTAGATGTCACAATTTTCTAGTTACACTAGTTTTCACCTTCTGTAGTTTTTCAGTTTGTGCTTAAGATTTTCCATTTTGAGTAGGTCCCTTAGATAAATTTAAAACTTCGAGCCACATACCTAAAATACAATTTGTAAAACTTTGGAATTATAAATAAAATTCAGGTAATAAAAAGTGTAGAACTAGGAAGGATCACGGAGGTTATCCTCAGAAGTCTCCAAAGAGGAGTGTGTGAAGCTCTTTTATAATCGGATATCTACTTTTTAACATCTCTCAAGTGATTTGGATATGAAACCCTATATAAAAACCCAACTCTCACAATTTATATTAAGGAATTAAGATCCAGACATGAAGCTACTTGGTCAACTTGTTTTCTAATGAATAGTGAAGTCAGGAATAAGCCCAGACCTTTGAGGATGAGAGCTTTGCACTTCGTCAGTTGTAGTAAATCTGGGGAATTTCAATTCTTTCCTATAGAATGAGATTCACCCTGTTTTCATGTGTACAGCTCCATGTCTCCATTGTATTTAATGTAAGAAGTTCTGAAAGGAAATGCCAGAATTGGGTCTTGCCCCCATTTTATGCTTTCTCTCCTCCTTCCTTCTTCATGAACAATGTCAGTGTTTACAAAATTCATTTCTTTAGTTTTGAAAGAAAACCATGACTGCATTGGATATTGATGAGCTTTTGGTTGATATTTTTGTTTACCTGTATTTTCAAAAATGTTTCAAAAGGCACCATGCGGTGTTGGTGTATTATTATTATACAAAACATTTTTGGAAAGCAAAAAACCTTTATCTTCCTGTTTACCTTTTAAAGTTCCCTAAGGAATCTTTTCTATAGGTGTGCTTTTGCCTTTGATTTCTAGAATTTGAGAAAAAAAAATACACAGCAGCCTATATCTGATTCTTAAGAACTCATATTTCAGAAAATTTAAAGCCAATGGAAAGAAGTGTTGATTTAAAATAATACTGGCTTTGCCATTATAAATTATATAATTAAAAAGAACACGGTGAATATTGGGGAATAAAGATATTTCAAAGATAAGTAATTCCTTAGAAATTATGAAGATTATGAAATCTTCATTCCTATTGGAAGAACTATATGCTTTTATAATAGTGTCACAGAAACATAACACTTTCTCATAATGTTAAGATAAGTTACGAGACTCAGATAAAACCTTGCACAATAGAAGTTTTTCCACACTTTTTGGTATTTCTCCTGGAGATAAATTGTTGGCATCTGTGCAATGAAAAGGCTGTTTATCCTTAGGAGCATCTTGTTGGTTAGTAAGCATACAGTCTATTAATCTCTTCAAGAGATAAATATACATCCCATTAAGAATTAACATAACTATCTTTTTATAGTAACACTTTCATTTGGGGGTTGTCTGTTTAGCTCTTATAACAAATTTTCTGACAATGGTTGAAAAACTGGCCATTTCACTCACAATCTCAAACACACTTCTATTTTCTAGTTGTGCAGTCACTATTCCTCTGTCCACCTTGGATAAGTGGTTTATTTCAGATTCTGCTTTCTGTAAGAGTTTGCTTTAACCACATAATATTTAGGTAAAGGCCCATTGTGTTCCACATTTGAATAATTGAAGAGAGGGGTTGCATTTTTGAGTGGTAACCAGCTAATGTTTTGGGTCTCTGATCTGTGTGAGGCCTTGACGTCCTCTATCCTCTGTCTCCAAACTTGACATTCAGACAGTCTGAGTAGATGTAATTACAATTACATGCTGGAAAGGGAAAAGCCATAGTAATTTCAGTTTCTTGATTGAGTATCTGTACCTCTTCAGTCAATTTAAGAAGAGACTTTGCTAACTTGAGTGTATTTAACTTGAGCTGTCCATTGCTATAAAACTCTTTTCCAAATATTTATGGACAATAATTACAACTCTCCTTGAGTACAACAGGACATTTCGGCCATGTGGTAGTGTCTGCTGAGAAAGCAGACACTAAAAATTCTTTTGGCTTAGAAGTGAAGATAGACAAAAGTCTTATATTCTTATGTATTACTATAAATGGTGTTGGATTACCCTGGAGTTTTCACCTCTATTTAAAAGCAAAAGAAAAATGATCTGAATGATGAATGAATAATTTGGTTTTGTGTCCATGTTAGAGCACTGTAAATTGTTGTAGAATTCATCTAATAGTCCTCATAGTGAAACACTGGAGTGGGATTATTGTGTGTGTACTTATTCCAACCATTGTTAGCATGCTGGTTTATCATTTATTAATTCCAAGTTTTTCTTTTATACTTTTATTATTCTTGATCTCACCTTTTGCTAACATCCCTCTGAAGTTATCTGGTTTTTAATAGGTTGTAATTGTGTTTCTTTCAAAGATTCTGAAATTTATTCTTGCACTTTCCCCCTGTATTTGGATGCTTTCCCTTTTATAAATCTCAGAAAATTGTTTAGTAGGTAAGATTTGTGACAACTGAGGGCCTCATTCTGTAGAGACATCCAGGGAAATTTGTCAGTGTATTTAAGACTACCAGCTCAGGATTGAGGTAGCTAAAGAACAAAAGCTTCTTCAATTTCCTAGGTGAATTAGACACTTCATGTATAAGGTAGGAACCAGAATATTCTTGCTAAAGGGGTTCTTCATTCTGTCTACACATTAAAATCTCTGTGGAGCTTTTTTAAAAAATGCAAATGCCAGCACCAATGAAAGCAGAATTTCTAAGGTGGAGAGTTATTGTTTATCAACTTCCCAAGTACTTGTGTGCAGCCAGAGTTGAGGACCACTGAGGTAACAGGAGTAGGTCCACACATCGTTTTTTAGTTTTGACCCTGGTTGCTACCATGGTACAGAAGTCCCATCTACAGGGTGGTTCCATTGATTCAGAAGCTTGTCATCATGTTTTATTTTGTGTCTGAATTCATTCATGTGGATATTTTGTCTCTTGTCTTTGCATCCATCTTTCCCCCTCTCATAGTTTCCCCTGAAAACCCACAACTCTTTTTCAGAAATGAGGTCAAGTAAGATCACTTACTCCTTATTTTTCTTTTATTTAAAAGGTTGTGTGGAGGAAACTTGGAGATGCTGCCGGTTCATGTCCTGGAATTAGGCAACATCTATCAGGAAACCAGTACAAAGGACCAATGTGAGAAGCATTCTTTTTCAAATGTGAGATTCCCTACTGCCAGAGAGAGAAAAAAAAAGACCAAAAGAAGAAAAACAAAAGAATGGGTTTCCACAAACCTGGACTCATGGAATGACATGGATTGTACACTGCACACATCTCCCCTCTAAAACCTTCAGTCCATTAAACTGATACTCTTGTGTCTTACTTCAGTGTCCAAAACAGTTAATCTCAAACAAGGTAGCTCTGAGTAATCACCATTTGATATCAGTATTTTCATTAGAACTAAAGCGTTTTTAACTTCCCAGATCTAAGATTATAATTGGGAAACCTGCATGGTTGGAAGTGTCCCTTAGAGATTCAGTGGTTTTGATAGAGTTGACTTGTTCCATTTAGTGGTGGAAACTTTTTACCATGTAGTATTGAAGATACGAAGAGGTGATTTCCAGCTTCCGAGCGTTGAAAGTTGGGCATTTACCTCTTACACTTCATTTAAGATTATATTAGTTCCTGATTCATAATTGATTTGAATATAAGAGACATGGTTTCTGGGGGTTTTGTTTTGACTTTTGAGGTGCTAAAAATACCATAAAAATTCTATTACCAGCTAGAAAGTTAGCAAGACTTTGTAGAGTACTTGTCAGAGAGTATCAATTTCATTTCCATTGATCAAAATAAGTATATCTTTTCTGCAATCTTGATGAGTTGTTCATAGGAGCACATTTGGGGACATGTCGACCTCCATATTCATTCAGTGTATCAATTTCAACTAAAAAACAAGCAAATATAATTTTTTAAATGTTTAGAGCTGTGAGATGTTAATTTCTACAATTTAGTTTCTAGACATGCTGTATATTTAATAAACTTTATGTAAACTTTAAAATATTGCACTGCATTTATGAAAAAAGCTTTTTTTGCCTACTGCAGCTATTTAATGTTTTATGAAACTAACGCATGTCCTTCAGTACTGAGGTTAAAAGCTCTTGTTCAGATTGCTTGAGGTTTGAAAAAGAGGTGTGCTAGCTTTGCTTAGTTTTTTCCTTATTTTTGGTATATACATATAATATTAGAATGTGTGTATTGAAAATTCTATGATAGGTATTTTGTGTTTATCTAATGCAATGATAGTTTCTTGTATGAATGTGCAAGAAGCCTGTGACAGAATGCTATCTTTTTACTGTAGTTTAAGATTTTAAAAGTAGAAATGTAACATTTCCAAGTTTTCTCATATCTTCTAAATTACTGAGATTTGATTCATATCAAATATTCCTTATTGTTGTTCTTTTTAAAATGGGCTCATTACACAGCATATTAATTGTCATTGGTGGGAGAATATGAAAGAATTTTGTTTTACCTTTAAAATTTTAGCTGTGATGAAAACCAGCCCTCTATTTTCAGAAAATATTTATGAATTAATTTACTGTAGGATTATCTCTAATTATCATAATTGGGTTACAGTTTAAGCCTCCGTTTCTTTTCAAGTGTTATATTTTTAAATGTTATTACTCTGTAAAAGAAAATTGCTCACTATATTTCCACCTTTTGTCAGAGGAGAGCTTTCATCCTTAAATTGTTGTATTGCTACACTTTGAAGATGTTTAAAACAAGTTTTTGTGTCTGCAGCAGAGACTGCAGAAGCTAATCCAAGGGACACTGGTCTTTAACAAAATACTTGTGTAAATTTTGATACTGTATTAAAACTATTTTTTTAAAGTTCCACATAAAATTGAGTATTCAGTATATGTGTTCATCTTAGCAATGGTAATAAATTATTTAATCTCATAGTGTGTTGTCTTCAAAGTGTTTTTTAAATTGAAATTTCTAATAGTCACTAAATATGCTCCTGTGCAAGGGTTCTAATAATATGAAGACAGATAATTCATCATCTTAAACATAAAACCAAACCATGTTTTAAGTATGCTTACAAAGATGGATCTGATATTCACATTTCTCAATTTGCACTATTGTCTAATATAACATAGTTAAAATGTAGGATATTTAGTGATATTTAAGAATTTTTAAAAATTGGCTTCTGTTGTACAATGTTCTCCTCATTCTTTCAGTTCATATAAATTAAAATATCTAGTTGTCTAATTAAACCACTAGTCAGTAGAAGAAATATACTGGAAGAAAAACTCTAAGGAAATGAAAAACTTGGATACTTGGAAAATTTAAAGCTATATTTAAGGAGCTTGCACCTTATTGGGAAAATAATGTAATATGCACATATGACCAAGACATCAATAGAAAAACACACCCACACACCCTCGCATTCCCTGAGATCACAGATACTGCTTGGAAATTGCTACCAAGAACTAAAATAATAAACTAAGACTTATTTGACTTAGCACTAGTCCCAACATTTAATAACAAGAGTTTATAGATCAAAATGAATGGCACTGTTCTCTTATGTGACCATTTCATAAGTTTATCATCTTCCCAGAGACAAAACTAATTTATATATCTTGACAGAGTACTTTTACCAGCCTTGAAGCTGATAGACTGACAATCAAAATGTAGCTTTTAATGAGTGCCTTTCATGTTTAGCACACATTTGTGGCATTGTAGAAAACGCAAATCACCTTGTGTGACATTCAATAAAATATTGACAGTGTAATTGGGATAATAGTTTTAGTTCAATGAGCATTTAATGAATGCCCCTCCCCACAACTTCCTTAAGAGTAAACACAGCTGTGGTTCCTGACTCAGGAGGCTGGCTGTTGGAGATACACACGGAGGAGTGGTGTCATACATGCCAGTAGGAGTTTCCTTTGTTACTGAGATCTAAATAGGATTGCCTCAAACACCCATTTTCTTTACTGCTTCCTAAGATTTCCATGGGTCCCCAAATCTGTCAGCTTTAAGCTTCCTGCTGCCTCATTCTCCCTCTACCTCAGTTGTAAACTGATTTCTCCATTAGAAACCTTGACATCCATTCCCGGAAGGGATTTGCCTACCTCAAGCAGGCTTAGCAAGGTAGAGGTCTGAGAAGTTCATGGTGTCTCATAAAGAATTTTTATACTGTCTTCTAAAGGATAAAGAAATCTCCCACCCTGTTAAATAATTAAAGACAACATAATGGGCAGAAACATGAAATCGCTAATATTTGACCACTTTTAACTATAAAAACTGTATTTTTCTATGGTTCAACCTCAGGATGAAGAGATTTTTGGAGGAATTAGAGTAGAGGATAAATACCGTGTAAATTGGAAAAGAGAGTCATCACCTTAGGCTGGAGCTATATTAGAGTAGGCTAATTTCAGAGCAACGCTGAATAAAACATGTTTCACTAGGCAGGAAGACTTTGGGCCTACAAGTTCTGCATTTGACTCTAGGTAGGTCTGTAAGCTTGAACTTTCCTGAGCCTGTTTCCTCACAGAGAAAGGAAATAACGTCTCTATTACTTCATTGTAAGGTTCTCATTCCCATCCTATTTTGGGACCTTGACAGTGCACCAAAACATAGGAGCCGAGAATTTTGGGCTTGGGGCACATATAACATTAGGTTAGGAGAGAAAAAAAAAATCGATGCTGAAAATTCTATTTACTACTACATAAAGAAATCCTAGCTGCATTGTTACATATTATAAACTTCTGTTCTTCATATATCATCCAGTATACATCAGGTTATATCATGACTCATTGTGAATGATGATCGTGTAAACGGAATAAAGAGAGACATTAATATGATTCTCATTTACTAATAGTACATTTAAAAACTTTACCACCGCTATTTTTAATTTCTGTATTTTTCATACAACTAAGAAAACATGAGAATAAAGACTCCTACTCTGAAATGATAGAATGAATATCTGTTACAGCATCTTCTTGTCTCAAATCCTAAAACTTGGGCCGGGGATTTGGCTCAGTGGTTCCGCTGCCTGCCTTGCATGTGTAAGGGCCCAAGTTTGATCCCCAGTACAAAAAAAAAAAAAAAAAAAAAAAAATCCTAAAACTTATTAAAAGGTATTTTTAATAAATAAATCCATGGTCCAACTAGGCCACAAAGCATATTCATTGGTCAGTGATGATGAGACTTTCTTGAAGGGAGACAAACACAACTGAGCAAAGAATCCATAATTCAAAGTGCATAATGGAGGGTACTGTAGACTGAGACCACCGGAAGAGCACTCCAAACGGGGAAGAGTTGATACATACGTGGTGCTGTCCTGTAACTGACAGTAGCCAGAACGTTTGCAACTATATATAACTACTTTCTCAGCGAACAATAAAAATAGTTTCTCCCAGGCCAGAGTGGAAAGTGAGAGTATTTGAATTGGATAAAGAGAGCACAATATTCACAATTAGTAATACACATTGGAGAAAGAATTTTCTGTACCCAGATCATAAGCTACTGGCACAACTAACTAAAAGTTTATCCCATCTCTTTTACACTTAAAGAACTCCTGTTATCTCCCAAGCCTAGCAGCCTGTTCTGCTTCTCCAACAAGCAAGTTGTGGAATAAGCATAACAACCTAATACAGATATTTCAGTACTAAGATGAGTATACAACCAACAACCATTCAACACTAGAGGGAAGCCAGAACTACGGATCAGAAGTAGAAAACTCAACAAAGAAAAAAAATTAAGGAAAAGAATAAAAATTCAAAGGGCTTCAGAAGCATAGCTAATGCTAGATGGTAAATATTACATTCATTAAAATGAATTAATTTTGATATGAGTGGAGATGCCCAGCACTTACCTATTCCTTCACAAGAATCAAAACAACAAGTGTAAAGCTGCATTTCCAGGGAACGACCACGGGAGAACCCTGGCAATTGAGATATGAGAACATTAAAGATTCATAAACCAGGGACAAGAGCATAGAAAGAAAAACAAAATGCCCCAACATCTGTCACCTTAGCTCCACAACTGGGTTAGGGTAAGTGTGAAAGAAAAAGCCCCCACTTTTTTTGTGTGTAGTGAAACTGTGTATTGGATCTAGGGCCTTCATATTGAGCTATATCCCTAACACTTACTTACTTATTTACAGGGTTGTGGTAAGTTGAGAAGTTGCCAAGCCTGGGCTCAAACTTGTGATACTCTTGCCTCAGCCTCCAAGGGTCCTGGGATTACAGGCGTGTGTCACGTGTCTGGTTCTAACAAACTAATTCTTAATGCAACTGAGAGGGAAAATAAATGCTTAAAAGTTAGAATTTCTTTTTCATTTAGAAATAAACTGCTTTTTCAAGCTTCTTCATGCCAAGGATGAAACCTTCCCCTGCCCCTAGTCCAGATAAGTGGACAGAATATACAGATGCTGACCCCAAGAGGTTGGAGTCCACTCTTGTTTCCATAGGGAAAGGAAAGACTGGACGATGTCTAGGGGATGAAGCAATGGAAACTTTCCTTGTCTACTGTGTCACTTCATTCCCTCTCTCTTCTCTTCCCTATTCTAAAATGCCCTTGCACACCTGAACACAGCGGGATGGTGGGACAGTGAGAAGCCCCTCCATCTCTTTAAAGCTAGCTTTAAGGCTGGGCGTGGTGGCACATGCCTATAATTCTAGCACTTGGGAGGCTGAGGCAGGGGGATTGCTGTGACTTCTAGACCAGCATGGGCCACATAGTGAGTTCCAGGACCCTGTCTCAAAAAACCAAAACAAACAAACAAACAAATAAATAAAATAAAGCTAGCTTTAAATGAAGCCCTTTTTTCTTTTCACAAAGCCTCCTATAGTTTTTGGGAGGCTTTGGGCGATGAGTGGTATGGACTTGAGTGACGAATAACATTTTCAGTGCTGGCAACTGGGGCACTGACCCCAGAGATTCTGGCAATCCTAGCTACTAGGGCCTTTCAGAATCCTCAAACTTGCAGCCCATTAGATGAGTAATTAGAAGTTGTACATAATTGCTTTGGAAAAAGGCTATCATATGTCTCAGCTGTCCTTCAGGGTACTGTGACGAGGAACCACCTTGAGAAAGAAGCTATTATTGTCTGAAGTTGTTCTTCTCTAGGGTTCAGAAATCCCTGCATATTATTGTTTGGAATCCATTGCACTGGCTTATAGTAGCTGCCCTGTGAATCCAACTTGGCCCAGCAGAGCGACTGATTCTGCCTGCTGGGAGTCCTGCATTATAGAGGACAGGGGCTGCAACAGAGAAGAATGAGGGACTTTGCACTTGAGAATCAGGAGATCAGTCCAAGGGCATGACCAGCCATGCACGAGACCATCCCATTTTAGGGTTAAAGGCAGAGGCACTCATATCTTTCCTTCCATTCTTGTGCCCTGTTCCACACTCAGGTTTCTATCACTGATAAGACCATGCAAGAACATAGTTCCTGGTGGTGCTCTGACCAGAGGAGAATGCTGAGGGGCCCTTGAGCAATTCCATGGCTGTAACTGGCCACCCTGCTCCTGAATCTAGAGCAGCTTTGCCTAGCTCCATGTTCTCCTCCATTCACTCCTGGGCAGGCACTAGAGTTGAAGAATGTGGGTGAAGAAAAAAACCCTTAGCTGTTGCCTTGTCTTCTAGTGTGCACAACCAAAGGAGTGCCTAAGAGGAATTTTGCCTGGCTTCTACCTGAACAGGTATTGTTCCTGCAGCTGTAGAGAGGAACAGTCTACTTCCTGCTGCTGCCTCACTTACATGCATCCTGCTACCCAACTCCTGCACCTGGTCTGAGTGAGAACAACCATCTGGACTGAATATGGGTGACCTAGAGAGGTTGCTCTGTTCTCTGCCACTGCTTCTCCCAGTATCTGGATCTGTTACCATCACATGTTGTATAAATCTATAAAAAGGTTCAAGACTA